TTTTCTGTTCGCTCTACATCCAATTCTTGCTTTTCCATCAAATCCTCATAATGGCTTCCTGAAACACACCTGTTCCCCCGATGTGCGTTTTGATTATTTTTCAACACATCATCAAAGCAGAGAGCGTTTCCACACACACACACACACACACACACACACACACACACACACACACACACACACACACACACACACACACACACACACACGCAAAAAGTATTTGCGACCGGAGAAAGAAGGTGGAAAATGAGCTGTGAATAAAGCGCGCCATTCACTTAACGTTTGACTCCAATTAGACGGCAGCCGTCAGGGCCGTTATTAGAATTAAATTTTCCAAATGACCTCCGCTCTCATTGATTTCCACCCACTGCTGAAGCGCTCTCTTGTTTGTAGCCTTGATGCATTCAGTCCCGCATGTTATGCTGAAGTGAAGTCCCAGCACAATAAGAATCCAGTTTTTGCATCTTTTAGGGACACCACCCCACCCCGCCCCGCCCTCATTAAGCCTATTTTCAAGACCTTGTAAAGTGAATTTTTACATTTTTCCATCAATATTTAATTCAAGTTTAAAAACAATGGCTTAAATGAAGTGTGAAAATATGAAGAAATGTTTGTAAGACTGATTGGTGGGGATATACACTTTTTTTGGGGTGGGGGGGCATTGTCTGGCTAAAACAGCGCCATGTGACGCACAGCAATATTTGGGATGGATCGAAATGTATCTTTAAAGCCAATATTTTGAACATCTTTTCTGATTTGCCCAACCAGCACACCATAAACTTCTGTGTAGTTCTCCTCAAAACCAGATGGCTGCCCAAGATTGACCTGTGAGAGGCACCATGGTGCCAGAGGGCATCAAAATTGCTGTGTTTTGAGCCCTGCTTTTCTAATGAAGTGCTGCCCCCACGAGTGAAAATACAATTTTAGTTAAGACTGCTGGGCACTTTTTTCATTTCTAGAAAAACGGCCTAAATTGCTTTGTATCATCGCACCCTTTCTTTTTTTTTTTCCCGTGTCGACCATTTGTTGACTTTGTTTTTCATTTTGTTAACGTTGCATTCGAGTCTCACGTTGTCGTGCTCCATTGGTTAAATTAATTGGTTAATTGCTGTATTTAGCGAGTCTGCTTTGGGGTCCAAGATTCACCGTTTACGCACCATTACGAGATGTTTATTTTGTAAATAATTGAATATAATTGGATCATATTGTATTTTTTTTTTTTTTATCGCGCCACCGATGCAATCTTTTAATTTAAAACGATGTGGCAGCGATAACGCCTGTACCGACAGTGACCCAGTTTCACTTCATTCGCAGACTCGATTGGCACGTCTGTATATCCATAAGACTGAAAATAAATAAATAAATAAATGACTATACGACGACGGCCAGTTTCAGAAACGCTCATTCAATAAAATTGCATTTAGCCGAGATGAGATTGCAAACACGACGCCGCATGTGGCGGGC